ATTTAATGCTCTCCTCTGCAAGTAGAAGTGGCAGCTTACCAATACGCTTCTCACTGTGCAATGTACAGATATCCAATGCCAGACTTTAAATTGCTCAACAGCAAGTCTTAAATCATCCTGCTGAGGAGTCTGTAGGGAGACATACCAGTCTTTCTGTAGAGGGAGATCAATGAGCTGTGGAGACATGCTGGCCAGGAATCTCCCTTTCATCTAGATATACAGAGTGTGACACACCAGGTGCCAGCTTAACTGCTATTCTTACGGGAATGGGCAACTTTTACATTTGAGAGATGAGTGTACTTTTTTTGAGGTTATAGATTATTTTTAATATGTCAAAGATTTATCGTGGGAGTTAAAGGGTTGAATAAAGTCAGCAAAAATAAATTATCAAGCTTAGTGTGATGCAAGATATCAGGGACTTACAGAATTTTACCATCATGTTGATCTTGCTTATGAACTCTCCTCTGCTGGCATCCCTGACACATCCAGTTATTGTTCAGTGATACGTCTTTTCTTAAAGGCAAGGGCCAGACTGAACTTATGAGCAAAATATATGTTGTGTACATGCTTACAGGGCACATGTATCTGTCCCTTTCTCTCTCTCTCCCCTCCCGCCACCCCATTTTGCAGTCTCTTGTCTAGAAATACAACTTTCTTTCTCCTGTACAAGTAAATCTTTGCAAGGTTGCACAGGCCCTCTAGAATAGCAATCTGAAAAAAACTGAAACACATCCAGAACTGGAGTGGAAAAACAAGTCTCAGTACCTTACTTGTGTCCACAGAAATTGGAAGGTGGAACTGTGGCCCTGCAAGCATTTTTCTGCCTTATCATGAACCTGTTTCTAGTAAGAGCTGAACTTGCATCTCAGACCTAATGATATCAACATTAACCTTTGACAGCAATGGAACTTTTGTTTCAAACATAAGGGTTCTTAAAGGACTGACTGCTTTTTGTTACAGAAACGAGCCAGGCTGTATTTCACAGCTGCAAAAAAAGGCAACTTTGTAGTGCTGAATGAAGATGGACCACTCTTGTCCACACAAATATGAGACTATCTGATAAACAATTCTGTTTTTAATTACTGAGGATTCACAAATTCCATATTTGATTGCCATACCCAGGAGTTGCTTAACTCTCCTCTCCTCTTTCTTCAAATTGATCATAACTATTTAAAATTGCCCTCTGCATTATTATATTAGGTGTCACCCCATAAGCTCATCTATCTTTTGCATTCATAGGACAGGCTATCTTTTCCTGGTTCCTATGAAAATTATAGGGTTTGGGTAACAGTTCTACAGAATTTTGCTAGATGTCAAGAAAAATTAATATACTTCTTGCTTTCACAGCTGTGCTAGACTGGAGTAGTGCACTTAGCATTGAATATCTCTACCACAGAAACAAAGAAATTGGGGTGGTGTGAAATAAAGACAGATTAATGTGGAAAGAGTTAATATAAGTCAGGTTGTACGAGACACTTGCTTTCACTACAGAAGAAGAAAAAGCACTTGAAGATTGGCAGTGTGATCCTCTAAGAGATTTTCCAAGTTGGTAAGATTTTTCCATAGCTGTCACTGCAGCTGTGTGTTACCAGACAGTATGTATTCAGAAAGAAACATGCATCTCAGGGTATGCAGCAACTTCAATACATGTAGAGATAATAAGGATGCTGAATAGGAATCCTGTGAGGTCAAAAATAGTATTTTTTTTTTCCCAAACAACAAATACCTTTCAAGAGATTTTAAACTACAAAAGCAAAGCATGAACTACCAGTGGCACATTAAATACACAAGGAAAGAACAGTGCTAACAACTTTAAACATTCAAAACATGCCTCTAAGTTTGGTAGTGGGTTGCCTTCTGGGCTTTTCTGGCAAGTTTTTGTTTGCTTTTTTTTGTTTTGCTTTTTAACTCTTAATCAGAAAAGGTTGTATTACTTTGAACATTTTCACTTAAAAGAATGCATCTTTAAACATATAGACATAGCATCAGGAATTTGAGCCTTCATAAAATAGTTTTGAGAACTTTATAAATAACTCAGATAACTATTTCTATTGGAATGCTCCAGTTAGCCATGACTGCAGTGTGCCTCCCAAAAAATGGTACTGTTCAGAAAACCTTTTGGTAGACCTATGCTTTACCTGTAAATCTCAGGTGCATTTTTCTTTTTATTGTTACTGTATTTAACAGTTTATCATGCATAATTTTCTCTACAGCTAGTATTTTCCAGTTCTGCTTTATTTCAAGTGAGAGAACTTAGTGAAAGCAGTCATCTTGCACCATTTTTCATAATTTTTTTTCCCTCATCTTGTAAGGAAATATGAAGTCTGACACTGATGTTTATCTTTTGCATATAGATGCTTCGCAAACCAATATACAAGTTGAAATGTCAAGTGAAAAGTGTTTAAAAATAAGAACTTGCTGACTGCTTTCTTTAAAATATCACTTTTAATCTATCGGTAACAAAAAGTAGTACCACCTTAGGAAATGAAAAGCCTTTCAGTAAATTATCATAAAACAGCGTGACTCATATTTGCAGAGACTAAATAAGGAACAGTCTCTATTAATATGGAAACTGGGATAGTAAATATTCTAGAAACATTGCCCACAGCATAAAATTTTATTAAACTGAACACTAAAAGTGATGGGAGAAGAGGCAAAAAACCCCTCAAACCAATGAGGGGGGGAGAAAGAAAGATGATCAAACTAAAAAAGGGAACAATGTTATATATTTTATAAATAAGTATAATAATTAAAGTATTCTTCATGATGCAGCAACCTGGTAAATAATTCAAAGGTGGAATACTGCAACACTTTAAAAAGAAAAGTCTCACCATATCTGTCACTTTTTTTTTCTTCAACAACTAAAATCTACAGAAAGTTACTTTGACCAATTCTGAGGCCACCAACACAAGAGGATATGGAGCTGTTGGAGTGAGTCAAGAAATGGGCCATGAAGGTGATCAGAGGGGTAGAGCACTTTTACGATGAAGACAGGCTGAGACAGTTAGGGTTGTTCAGCCTAGAGAAGAGAAATCTCCAGGGAGAACTCATAGCAGCCTTTCAGGACATGAAGGGACTGACAGGAAAGCTGGGGAGGGACTTTTAAAAAGGGTTTGTAGCCACAGAACAAGGGGGAGCTTTCGGTTTTGAACTGAAAGAGGGTGGATTTTTATTAGATTCCTGTGTTTTTCAGGATGGATCATTTTTAGTCTTGATTTCAGTGTCTTCCTGGATGCCAGTTACATAGCCCTGTCTGTCCCCTTGGGAAAGCCTCCTTCATCACATCAGCTCCCAGCCTGGGTTTCCATCCCCTTGCTGTTCCTCCTAGGTATCTCCAAGTTTCTCTTTGCACTGCAGGCCCTTCCTCACTGTCCTTTCTCTTCCATGTCACATCCAGCAACTAGAGCTATTTTTTAGGTTATACATGTTCAGTGCCTTTCAGGCTAAACCTGCCCTAGAAGGGACCAGCTGGAAGCCACTTTTTATCTCTGCTGCTTCAATGCATCCTCTTAGCATACTCATACACTGAACTGAAAGAGAGTTAAATGATTGTATCACAATCCCATTCTTCTCTTAAGCTTTAGATGTATGAGAAAAATAGGAGGAAAAGGTTCTGTGCTTATTTAGTTAACACATTTCAAAGAAAAATATTTTGCAGTGAGACCCCTCTGGAGAGTTTTTGTTTTTTCATTTTTAGAAAAAATAGCCTAGTATTTCGGAAAGGACATTTTTCTTAAATCCTGTTCTATTAAAAAACGCAAGTTTAAATTAACCTATATTAAGTTGGCAACTAAAACCCTCCATAGGAAGTGAAAACCAGTATTTGACTGTCAAGTCAGTTCCAAAGAGATATACTTAATTGCGTAAAATTCAGTCAGTTGGTAAAACGAAATAAATCCCCAGAGAGCTGCTGTATTGAGCTAACATTTGCACCACTCTTGCAATGTGAGCAGAATCTAGTTTTCTTAACTGTGAGACTGCTCTAAAATGTATCCACTTACACTAAACATACATGGTAGACATGACATGAATCATATGTGCCTAAGGAAAATTTTCAGCAACTTTCTAAACCAGTAATCTGATGTCTGTGACAGTTACACAGGGTGAGCACTCTTGAAATAGGTTTGTTCTTGTTGAGTTATATAAACGTGGACTAATATAAATCATTTAATGAACATAAAGCTTCCTGTTAAAGTAGAGGCTCAGAAGCAGCTTCATTATCTGTATATCAAGGTCACTCAAGTTGCTAAAAGATGTAGGATTACATAACAGTGTTTACTGTTTTCCTGTTTGTATTTCTTTAATTTATTCTTATACAGCATTTATTACTTTTTAAAAAACGGATCTCTTCTTGGCACTGTTTTCATAAATAAAGGGTGACCACAATGCAATATCTGCATGCAGATGAAAACAAACTGCATAGCTCTTCAGACACCATGCGTAATTTTTTTTAAATACCATTCTCAATTCTTTATATCTTATATATCACACATGCTCATGTCCATAGGCTGTTATTTACAATGTGGCTCAGTCTAAATCTTTTCTTAGTGCAGTGTCAATTGACTTTCTCCTTCTGTCTTCCTGCTTCCCTTCCTTTTTCCCTATTTCACTTAACAAATATTGACAATATAGCATGTCTTTATGCCTTGACTTGTTTTCAATAAATACGCTAACAGAAAATCTTCAATCAGCTTTCAGACCTGAAATAATTACCCCACTGCTTGAATTCATAGTAGCACAGTAATTACATGCTTTAACAAAAATGTCATTCAGGTAATGGGCCTGAAAATCTTTAGCACAAATTTATGTTAATGTCTAATTCACAAACTACAACTACTAGAAAAAAAAATATCTGTTAAATAATAATAATAAAAAAGACAGAGAAATCCAAAAGGCATTCAATAGGCTGTGTGCTAATGAAGTGAGGCTGACTGATTTCTGTGCAATTGCTCCTAATAACATTCTCTGAGAAAAGCCTTTGAACAAACAAACAAATGTACCTTTCTTGAAGAATAAGTTTGTTTTCTTTCTTCCAGAAGTCTTTGAAGTCAGAACTGAATTCATGCCAAATACTGAAGAAAGAATGTGGGGACACCTCTTTCTCTCCCATTTTTGGTTTCATACAGAAATAGGCTGCAGTTTCCAAAAAGCTGTCAAAGAAAGCAAAAGTGGGAAATGTTTCAGTACCCACCAATGCAGTTGTTTTTGTTTTGTCTAGTTTTTCTTTTTTAACCTTAACACCAACATGGTATTTAATTAGCAAATCTAAACTTAAAGAACATAAAAACATTTTCATTCTGACTTCTTTATATAGAGATTGATACACAAGATAACTCTCCAGCAGAGTTGAGATTCGACACTTAGGCATGGGTTTTGGTTTTGACCAAAAGACCATTTTAAAAGCTAAAATAAACACACTGTTCAGAGCCCTGCAAAACCAGACATCCACACCTGCTCATATACTGCATTTCTGTTGTGTTTAAAGCTATTTTCAAAACACAGACTCCAAGCCTATGAAGGACTGTAAACAAAATTCTTCATGTTCTGTTAGATCTGTACTATATGACACAATGGGATAGATAGCTTTGGTTGAAGCCTATGCAGAAATACAACTCAGACCTGCTGTGTACTAAACAAGAAATGACCCAACAGAAATCTGTGCAAAGAGCAACTGTCCCAGAAAACAAGTGCCCATCAGTACCCTACCGGAATGATCTGACAAACCCTTTGAGCACAGCAAAAGTAAAGAAGCATATTAAATGCAAAAGTTACACCTCAAGTAAGAGCCGCTGATGAAATGCACCAGAGATTTTCCAACTTAGTGGCTATTATGGCTACAATAAACAGATTTCTGAGTTTAAATTGCTTCTATTTTATTTCTAAGCATGTAGGAATTTTATGGGAAGCTATAGTAGAATTCTTTCAAAAATCAGTTGCTTAACAATTATTCCATTTTATTTTTTTTACTTAATGTTCTATACAGACTGGAGCTTTTAAAGAATGTTTTGTAATCTGAAGTTCAATAAAGAAGCCTCCAGAGAATCTGTCATTTTATGAAAAATTCTATGGAAAGCTGTCTCTTGAAATATAACTGCAGATGCTTTGCTTCCTGATCTTTTAGTGCTCGTTGACTCATGATAATTTTCTATTAAACACAGAGCAAAGTTTTAATTCCTTCAAGTATGGGGAAAAATGCAATTCCAGTTAAATGGATGGAAATGTCATTTTAGTCACAGAAGTTGTATCTTCATTCATGGACTATTGTAAGTGAAAATAGAGTGCTTTGATAGTTGTTATAACTGGAAGTATTGAATGGTGACAGTGATATACAAAGATTCAACCATTCAGAGGGGTGAGTCTCACCAAGCCTTTGTGAAACACCTTGTCCTTGTTCCCAAAACTCAATACTCCAATTGTTCTCCCCAACATGGAACATACTAATCTAAATAAAGTTATCCTATTTCTGAATAAAAAAGCCTACACTTTTCCTATTAATTTTGCAATCCATTTTCTATCTGCTGACACAAAAATGAAGCTGTTGAGTAAAGAAGATGCAGCACAAAAAAAATATAAAAGACATCCTCACTTTTTAACCCAATGTATTGATACTCAAATTCCACCTTACCAGAGTGCACCACTTCTTCAGCTCTCTCAGCCTACTATGGCACACCATTCTGTAAGTCAGCACTTGGTTAATAAGCAGAATGTCTTTTTTGTGGCTGGGCTTTGCTGGGTTATTTTTCAAATCATTTATGGATGAACGATACTTTAAGAAAATTAATTAAAAAAATAAAAATCCATTTTACTTACCTATTTACATTTTTCTCATAGTTTTATACAGGGGAAAATATATATCATGTAGCCTGTGGTCCCACAGAATCACTCAAAAATAATATCCCTGACCTTCATCAGTCAGCTGCACTATATTTTATACCTATGCCTGTTTTCATATATTAAACTTTTTGCAAGACTGCAAACATATCAGGGAGATTTTTCAGCTTTCCTTCCAGCCTCCTCCTCCAGACTTACAGCTGTGGAGCTGGCTAGTGAGGCAGTCGTATAAAAGGATTATTTGACTTTTTCAGAATGAAGTGGCAACATTTTTGAAGGAACACAAGCAATACTGGACAAGAGAGAAATCTGGAGGCATGAGTTGAGTCAATGGCGTATTTTTAAGGAAGCTCTTTGAATGAATGCCATTAATGATTTACAGAACACAGAAAGATCAGAAGTTCAAGTAAGGAGCCTTTTTCTGAGAAACGTGTCTTCAAACCATTCTGCAAATGACAATAATGTGACAAGAATTTGACAGTGAATAGCCATCCTAAGCAATGCTTTTAAATTTGAGGTAATGAGCTAGAATTTTGCCACAGGAAAACATCTCAAGACACAGGAAGCAAGACAAAATGAAATTCACACTGTACCAGAGATTGCTAAAAAGAAACAAATGAACAAAAACCCAAAGATAAAGAGCGCTAACATTTATTAGAGATGCAAAGTCTTCCAATACTCTTCAACTACTCCAACTATCCTCTGGGAGCAGAAGGAGATAGCCAATGTTTTATTTTCTCTGGTGACTGAAAACCTCTTTCTTGTATATAACCAGGACAACCTTATATATGAATACAGATATGTCTGATAGCTCAAACTTAATTTCTAGGTTTATAGCAAGAAGATAAATTCTCAACCCAATTTACTTGGCTCCCTGGCAGTTACCTTAGAAAGTAAGGGAAATAAGCTGTTTGCAAAATGTGAAACAGCAGCAGCATAGAAGGTCGTCACTGTTGATATGTCACACCTTTCTAACACCTGGTAACAATGCACAAGATATCACAGCAACAGAGTAAGACTTCAAGGCACAAATCTCCATGAATCAAATATTTTTATATATGCAGATCAAACAGTCCAGACTGCTATATTTTTTTCAAACAGAGAGGTCTATCCTTACATAGCAGTTAAGTCTCTTAGAGCATATTTAGAAGACATATGGAAACCTGTTTGCTATACATTCAATGCTGTCATTTTTGTGGTATAAGACAAAGTGGCATAATTCACACATGAAAGAAAAAGCAAATAAAGTGAATCCAAATGCACCAAATAATACAACATGCACAGCAATAAATCCTGTATTTTACTATGCTCTTTAAATATCTCATTTGGAAATGTTTACATATGTCAAACTAGACATATCTCAAAGCTGATTCAAGGAGGGGATGCACATTTTAAATACAAAAATAAATTTGGATGACATTGTCATAACTCCAAGACCAGACTATCAGCCTTTCAGATTGCAGCTAGGCAGCAAATACCTTTTCTCTGGTGCCTTCCAGTGGGGTAGCGCATTAAAATTTTCCTTTGGATCCCCCAATAGGTTTTGAAACAAAACATCTGCAAATAGCATTGATGTGGTTCCTGACTGTATGTGCAGGCACACAAACATTTTTAAGCAAATAAGGGGCTAGATTTCAGAAGGCTTTTGTTCCTAAATTCAAATTAATTTCTGCATTGTATAACCTTGGGAAAAATCATCTAACTTCTCTGGATTTCATGTCACCTATCTGCAATATGACACGTTTATCACTAAACAGGTATTGCAAAGCTTGTTTAGTGTCCATTTCTCAACTGAAAAGGTTCTTAGTTGTTTTGTACTCTTAGCGAGTGTCTTAAAAGAAAAGAATGTGCATTAGAGAAGAGATAGCAGTCATGGAACAGGGAAGGAAGGGCATGCAAGTTATTCTCAGGGATTAAAAGAGATAAAGGAGGTCACTGGCTTTGCTTCAAACAGCCTGACTTTTCAAACATGATTAAAAATAAGGCTGTGATGTTCACACAACTCTCATATCCTGACACAGCAAAAGCCAGAATTCTTTAAACACATTTCTTTATGCCGGCCCTGAAGGAGAATTAAATAACAATAAATCTCAAAACAATGGAAGAGTTGTTCATCCCTGACAAGTAAGTAAGGAAAGGAAAATCAAGAAAGTTAGTTAGTTCCTATTCTCCTATTCTCATCATCTAATTTCCTTGGCTCAATTGTTTATGTAATTCAGAAAAATCACTGCAAACTGAGATGACTGAACTCACTACTTTCTCAAATGTGAAGATTTGATGAATGAATCACAACTATGAGACTATTGAAATTATTTTTCTATTTGGAGGGAAAGAAGGAATGGATGCACTAACAGCCAAACCAAATTTAATCATATGAGAAAGAAAAGAAGTCATTCACATTGCAAATGGCTCACTGACAACATTTCTAGCTAATAGATCTCACCCATAAGGAATATTTTAGAGCAGCTATGGATCATTTTTTTTTTCCATTCCATTCTGAAGCCAGTTACCAAGCAGTTGCAGACAATGATCCAGATTCAAGTCTGCTGTGTGCAATACGTTGGCTAGTTTATAAATATGTAAAATATATATTTGTACACTTGCATGCATGTATGTATGTGAACACATGCAGTAGGTCAAGCAAAAGGACAGGAGATAGAACTGGCAACTACAAAAATACTTACTTTGCCAAAAAATAAAAAAGACAGCAAGGAGACAAATCAATAGTACCAAGCTATGGACAGCAGACAGCCATGGACAGTAGCTTCACCCTGGAATCATTTGATCACGCTTCCACAACCAAACAAACAGCAAAGTAAGGATAGGTACTGACACGCCCTGGCTGACCTTTCTGAGAAGAAGCAAGCACACACACAAACACACACGCATCTGGTTTCCCCATTGAGCAAACTACATCACCTGCAAGAGTAAAGAGTGGTTTCAATGTGGATTTAAAAGCAGGGGAAAAAAGTTTCTACAATTCTGTAAGAAAGATTCTGTGCTGTTTAACAGATTATTTATTTTGGTTTAAGTTCAAACCTGGATATTCTTGACTACTTCAGTGTGGCTTAATACATTTTTAAGTATAATCTACATACATTTGAGATAAAGAACAGATAGTCTTAGTGGTAGCAATTGTGTTACTTTTGTGAAGCAGTTGTGCTATAGAAACAGTTCTGAGTCAGGCAGAAGCTACTAAGGTACATTTTATTTTGATTAAATTCCCAAGTCAAAATTTGAACTAAGCAGGATCAACTGAAAAGAAAAAGCTAAAAAGGGGAGAAAAGACTCCATATGTGTCTCTTGCTACATTAAATTT